CATATGATTGGTCCTAAATTAAAGGTACCATAATTATTCACATATTTCATTGTATAATTTTTGGCATAATACCAATCAATGCATTTTGTTTACATTTTATTCATTAAAAACTAACTACAGTTACTGAGCAAAGTGTCCCAATCACTGCTGAATGGATTTATTACCAGAACAAACAGAACCTTTTATTTGACAGTACACAGTATTTTAATTACCATAAATACTGTAGATATGTATTACACAAACTGCAAAGGCAGCAATGTTAACTATAGTCATGGAAAAAGTAGAGCCAACCATTTTCTTCTTTTGTCTCCAGGTTTTTTAATCTCTGACCAGCTGACTCTGATTTTAGCTCTTTTGATTTTTTTTAAGAACTGCAGTTAATAACATACAAAATGTATGTATTGCATAGTGTGATTATTTAAAGAGGTTCAGATCAGGTTGTGTTTTTGTGCCTTTAGGTAAACAGATTATATGAGCTGCCTTTCAGACATTATTAACTGTAACACTTGATGGTTAAAACCTACAATATCCAACAGTTATAGCTGAAACAAGAAGAAATTAAAGAAGGGATGTGTTTTATCTATATCGATCCATTTATTTGAATATTCTGAGCGTGATGCAGTGACTCCATCACTAGAAGGTGCAGCGGAAAAAAAATCACATTTCGATGAAGACCGAAGCAGCTTTAAATAAACAAACCCAATTTTTGTCGACATTTAACACCCGTCAGCTGTGAAAAGAGAGCAAAATGTTTTATGAGATCTTTGTCATCAGTAATCAAAGGTCATTTGGACTCATGTTACCCGTTTGCTCTGCAGCACTGAAAAACCCGGAGGTGGTGGCCAAACGAGGAGGCCTCAGCACGATCCTGAAGAGTGTGCTCGACTGTCAGCTCAGCCGTATCAACGAAGCTCTGATCACCACCGTCCTCCACCTCCTCAACCACCCGTTAACCCGCCAGTATGTGCGTGTAGACGTGGAGCTGGAGGTACGAACCGCCAGAATTCTGTTATTTATAAACGAACTCGAGTACAGAGCGCTTCCGGTTAGCACCTCGGCTTGCCCTCATCTCTCTGAGCTTACAGGAATCAGCTGCAGCTTCTCGCTAAAGCCTCGTTGTCTGTAAACCTTCACCTGAGACCGAATCGCTCACCATCCACGTGCATGTCACAGGAAATCAGAGATTCATTCTCGCTCTTTTGTATTGTTTCATGGATCTGTCAAAAAAGTCAGCTGCACTTCATACGTATTTATCTCTTTTTACTCTGTCCCGCAGCAAATCCTCGCGCCTTTCACGGATTTTCACTATCGTCACAACGCGGACACGGCTGAAGGGCAGCTCAAGTGAGTGTGTGTTGGGGCGAGGTTTGACGAGTTCAAGTGTTGGAGTGGAAACAAAAAGCTTCAGTGTTTGACATCCCGCCCTCCCCCCGCTGTCAACTGTTTGCTTGTGACTGCACGTGTTCTGTGGGTTTGTAGACAGTTTGTGTTTGTAGAGCTTGTTATCCGGGCTGTTTGAGTCTGGATCAACTCGCCAGAGGATGTGATGCTGGCTGAGCTTCACAGCTGATCTGATTTAATTTAAAAAATGGTATTGCCTGTTTCAAAGTGTACAAAATAATTTATAAATCTTTCTGAAAAATCCATTACATGTCATTTGTGTGTGTGTGTGTGTGTGTGTGTGTGTGTGTGTGTGTGTGTGTGTGTGTGTGTGTGTGTGTGTGT